TCCTCTTTGTCGAACTTTAGTTCAAACCAAAACTCTTTGTCTATCTCTGGATAACTTTATTACTAATATTTGTAATCTTCTTGGGAATGCAATAAAAGAACATCGGGAAAAAGTACAACAAGAAAGTAAGTATATTTGAACATTTATTAACTTATATTTATTGTTATAACTATTTTTAGAATTGACAGTTAATGTCCCACGAGTAGAGTATCCGCGACAAATGGCTAGAAGAGGTCGTAGAAGAAGATTAAGATAATTTACCTTATTGTTAAAAATAAAATATTTTCTATACATTATCTCACCTATTGTATTTTAAATTTTAATTAAAAGATATTTGATACCAAGCAAAATGATGGGTACTTTTTTAACAACTATGAGCACAATAACATATTATTTAATGTTTTTAATACAAATAAAAATAAGCATAAGTATTTCAATTATATTTTACATGAACTCTATTAAATAATAAAATAAAACCTTGGGAGCTAAAGCTATTGGTTGGTACATAAGGATTTTGTTCGCCACCGGGTTCCTACTAAAGCGGTTAGCCCATATGACTAATAATAACAATAACAATAAATTTCAATGATAGATTTCTAACCATAAAAAAAAGAAAGATTACCATTCATCTAATTAATATGTTTTTTTTTGTATGATATGATTTTCAAATGCATAAATTCATATTTAAATTCAATCGGACGTCCGCAAAATACAAATGTAATGACATTGAACAATAAAATAATTTTACATACAATTAGAAGATATACTCCAAGTCAATTCACGGATTCAACGATTCGACACACAGTGGGGCAACGAGCTTCAAAAGTTGGCATTAAATCATGGAGCAAAAAAATATATTCCAAAAATTAATATTATTTTTATTTTTGTCCATCAGATATATAAAAAGTCATTTACATAATATTAACATAGGTATTTGCAATATACTAAAATCCCAACCCCTCATTATAGCTTCACCTGGAACAGATTTTACGTTTTTTCTGCTTTAAAATTCCGATTTTTTTTTACTGCGGTCTCCACACAATCTCATATCCGCTATGTTGTATTTCATTCTACTAATATGTAATTTTGTCAGGCAGTTCCATAAATTCTTGAAATTACATGCATTTGATTATAGGAATGATTCTTAGGAAGGCGTACTTTTAATATACAGAAATTTACTGAACAGTATCTTTATTTGCGGTATGGTGTGTATATAGTTATGCACCTAAATATTCTGCTATCATTTTTGGTTTTGAACACTGGTCAAGTCCCTCAATATCTTACCTCTTACTCACAAATATTTTGTTCAAAATCTATTTATGAAACGGGTAAATGTTCAATGAATGCTATGGGACATTAGCCACTCTGAAATTTCAACCAAACACCTCAAGTTTAGATTAATTTCAAACAATACGACAAAATTTAAAAACTATAATCGAATCATAATAATCGTAGACCGTAATATTTATTTAAAAAACCATTATAAATTTTGATCATAAGTAATGTTTCAATAAATAAACCATTACGTTATGATATTAAATTAAATTTAGAAATATTCTTCGACTTAATATGTTATCAAAATCGTTTTTAGTTAAAATATAACTGCAAGCGCAACTCGTCAAGATTTAGTGTCGCATCTAGCGGAATAAATATGATTAGAAGTGTACTTTTGTAGGTATTCGATAAAGACTTTAGGTGCATTTAATCTATAACCGCATTTTATATCAAAATTTTACTAAACACGTTGTNCCTGCATTTTATATCAAAATTTTACTAAACACGTTATATTATTATTGTCATTTATATATTATTCTATGTCGTATCGTGTGTTTGTGTGTTACGGTACAACGTACAGAAATGTATGTAGTGTATGTATTTATTTAAACCCGAATGATACGTTTAAATAATTAACAATTAGTAGTGTAATATTTTTCACTTTCAGATTTGAATAACAAAAAATATTATGACTGTAATCAGGGTAGGCCAGTTAAGTAGCCGTGGCAAAGCAAAAAAAAAAACTGCTTTGGTTCAACTATGCATTTATCATAATACTTGTTACTTATTTCATGTATATATCTTGGTGCGGTATTAATATAAAATAGTAACATAGGTACGTGTATTGATTGTATTGTTTATTTTCTATTAATTTTATTGATTTTATTTATGTAATAATGTATGTAACAAAGNGATTTTATTTATGTAATAATGTATGTAACAAAGCTATTGGAGTTGTACTCATTACTTTAACTCTCGTATATAAAAGGATAAAGCAATCCGAGTATAAAACATATATAAAAACAATTATTGTGATGTTTACATGCAGAATAATTAAACAATTATAATATCGCAGACAAAAAGATGTTGTAAAATGAAAAAAATTAAAAGGAGTTCATAATAATATTATTATTTGTTTTTTCTA